GCTCTGCACCTATAAATTCAATCAAACATGAATTACCAGTGATGGATCTGTACTGAACACATACAAATGTTTTCTTACTGTCTTTCCCTATACAATATTCTACATCAACAATTTATGTATATTTACAGCATATAGTATATAAGTTATCCAGAAATTGTTTGAACTGCTTGGGGGATAAGCGTGAGTTAAATGCAAATATTATACCATTCTATGTAAGAGACTTGAACATTTAGGTAGATTTAGGTACTTACAAAGTGTCCTGACACAAATAACTTACGGTTAATGAGGAATAACCATATTTATTTTTCTATGCCTGGCATATTTCACTTAGCATAAGGTCCCCAGGTTCGTCCATGAAGTCATACACAGTATTTTTTCCAAAAGAATTGAAATCATTATTTTGAAGAAATGTCCACACTTCCATGTGCACTGCAGTATTATTTACATAGCCAAGATATAGAAGCAACCTAAGTGTCCTTCTGTGGAGGAGTGGATAAAGGAAACACAGTATGTACCCACAAAAGAATACCAGAAAGTCTTATGCAAAGAATGATGTTTGTGATATACTGTCATTTTGTTCTAATTACAACTCTTAAGAATATTAATTGTGGCTTTATTCTGAATTTAAAAACAAGAAAATCAGTCTAATAAACACATAAATATAAGGAAAATTCCAAAAGCGTATGTTTCATCCCTTCCCAAATGTAAAATTTATCTTTTCAGAACTGAACTTTTCCCCCACAAAGTAAGGAAATTTAGATTATAATGATGAAGTTACATCAAAATAATTGAGTGGTAAGGTCTTCTCAGGCATCTCCTTTCTAGAGAAGAGCGCAGGTCATACACATTCAGAGAAGCAGAAGTAGCTTGTGCTAGAAGTGAACACATAGGAAAAGCTTGAGATCAGCACTGGACCTCAAATCCAAGTACAAGAATGTGAAAATCTCAGTTTGAATGCTTGGAGAGAGATGCACATGATGTAAAGTCTCTGAGGATGACAAAGTCTCCACAGGCTCAACTTGTATGACTGGTAAGAGGGACGAGTCAGGGAAGGGATCCGGGAACACAAAAAAAATTGCTTCATTTAAAGTATGTCTACTTGAGCATCTCTCATCTACTTCGTCTTTCACTAGGAAAGTCTTTTGTTTCTGTAGATACAATAAAAACTTCATGATGTTACTTTCCAGTGTACCAAAACAAGCATGTCGGGGACAAGCCAGAATCTTTTCAGTACTATTGTAATGGTAATCAAGTAGACTCTCCAACAGAAGAATCTGGCCAGAACCCCTTTAAAGGCTCACAAAATGAAATGTGAAAGAGTGAATAAAATCTAGGAGGTACAATAGACCCTGTGAAAGGGAAGGAAACTGCTCAAAAGGAAAGAACAACTGGGATGCAGGAAAAGAGAAAAGAAAAAAGGAGAAAATATATACATATGTATACACAGGTTAGCTAACATAGTTGTACTACTGACTTTTATTGCTGTATTGAAAGGAACTGTTAATATTTAAGTGTATGATCAATCTTACATGTCTATATTTGTTTATCTGAGTATCCAAATTGACAATATCAATATGTAATACAGTAACCATTGTTAATTTCCTATCACTTGTCTGAGATTCTGTAGTGCTTATATTGTTTTTGTGTTATTTTCTAATTGTATATGTGCTTTTTAAGATGTTTTCATTCTTTTATCTTTAAAATTAAAAAAAAAAGCTAACAGAAGAGGAATATGTTCTTGGCCCTGCTAGATTAATACAAAGGAGATCCAATTATGAATGTGACTTGTGTACCCACCGGCAGCCTTATGACCTTTTGGTCTACAATTTTAGATGCCACTGGACCTAAAAAAATACTTTTTTTCCCTTTAAATTACAGAACTGGCTTATTTACCAGAACCCTGGAGATCTCTTGAAACTAGCTATTTGTCGTCGTTCCCGATAACTGTGAGAAAGTTGGTGTTTTCAGGATTCTGTCATCTCCAACATCTACTCTAGTTTTTCAAATGTGGATCCAAACACAATAAATGTCCACCCACTTCTCAGATTGGAGTTTGTCATAAGGGCGCTTTGAGATATATTGGAGTGAGTATGAATTAGTTTTTATCTCATTCTTAATTGGGCAAAAAGTAGCCAGCATAGGCTGGGAGAGCCCAGGGAAGAGAGTCCATATGGCCCAAAGCCAAAGTCAGAACTAAAGTCCAACATGGTAATCTGGCACATATAGACCATGCAGACACTGGGAAAACTCAAAGCATGAGACGGGAGGCCTAGAAGCCTCACTCTAACAGTTAAATCAGAAGGGATGGAATATTCCACTTGACACAATATATTCTACTACAGACCATGGTCTCTGAGTCTGTACCACTAAATGTGTACCAAACATTCTCATCACAGACAGGTCATTTTGGAATTTCTATTGGTGGGATCCTTCCTTTCAATATCTTTGATGCTGGTTTCATCAGTCTGACACTTGACGCCTACCATAGTTAGAGGTATCCACTGAGCTAGCTATTCTCAGTCAGCTTCAGGCCGAGCCAATTCAGTCAGAACTACTGAAGAACAACAGGGATATCTGTTTAGTAAGACTAAGCCCAGTTTATTTTTAAACAAAGCAATAATTGAGCACATATATGGATTTCTGGGTGGTAGATGGGTCAAGAAATATATACCAGCTGAAAAATATCCCTAGAAACCCTCAGGTGAAAATATTACCTACAACCTCATGAGTTCCCTTTTTATGCAGATTAGGACCTTAGCTGATGCGGGTTAGCCCATATTGATAAAAGACGAAAAAAGTGGAGAAAAATGAGATATGTATCTACAGGTCAGTCCAATGCAATTTTGAGTGACTGTACATCACTGATAACCAATGAAGATAAATGGGTGTTATAGATATTGCTCTGAAACTGATCAATATTGACACTAACCTATGTGGAAATAATGGAATTCATCTCGGAAATAAGAATGCCCCTTTTACTCTAATTTTGTCACCATAAGTTTTCAAGAGACTCTGAGGTACTAGGTAGAGAGTTGCACATCAGTCTCTCAGTAGCCCAGTTGCAATGCAGGTCTGCTGCTGATCAGATATACGCAGCAGTTTATTAGAATACTTCTTTTCTAAATAAGGCAGTAGACAAAACATTGCAGTTTCAATTTCTATTATGCTTAGATATGCATTTATCATATGAGTACAAAATTGGTTAGAATTTCTGTCAACTACCTACCAAATCCAATACCACATTAGGTTTGAGTGCAGAACGCCCAGTTTCTATGTATTTAGCTCTTGTTCCCAGTTCTCCAATGGAGACTGATTTGCCATAATGTGTCTAGGGTCCTGACCATGTTATTTGGTATCTATTAGTCCCTCTTCCAGAGCTTATGTCCAATTTGAAGTCTTTTCACTATCAGTTTAAACACATCTAAGGAGGGAAGGGGTTCATAGTACCTCTCCCTTGAGTGCAATATTTCAATGATTCTTTTTCTTTGTAAAGAGTACAGTTTATCTGTAAACTGATTTCTTGTATATTAATAGGTAGCTCAAGTAAACTGAGCAATATTCAATATGCTCGATGGTTTAATCTCCAGGAAGCAGTGTTACACACCTAAAACAAAATTTTAAACTAAAATATGAAAGGATAATAATATCTAGAGAATATTAAAAGGTGTTTCAGTATAAGTCACTAATCAAAGCACAGTTTTGGCAAGGATGAAGGTTTAGAAATGAGAATATGCTTTAAATAGTACCAGTGGTAAGAGATGGATGAAGTTGAATTTTACCCCCTCTACTCATTCTACAGAGGTCTGTCTGAAAGACCTTCTCCACACAAATCACAATTGTACAAAATGTTACTTTTTCTAAAATTCTTCGTGTAATTTTTAGTAATTAGCCCTCAGCAGAACATTTTGATGTGCCACTTATAACTCAGGAAGATAAAGGTTAATGAAGTTAAATAATTTGCTGTATTTGTACATAAATGAAAGTCAAATTTTATAATTCCACATATTTCTTTAGTGGTCTTCCAATCCTTTTGTTAATTAGCTAGATAATTTCACCGAATTATTCCTTATTGGTTTTATCTGCCTTACCTACAAAAGTGTCAGCTAAATTGCAATGGTTTAAAAAATTCAAGTTGTAACAGGTATGTGTCCCAGGACTCTGTTTATTACAGGGTTCAATTTCCTTCTTTGCCAAAACAACCACTCACCTAAAAGATAATCAGGGGGAAACATCCACTACACAAACTTATTCTTATTTCAAGATATATTCCTGGGCAATACTGAAGCTAAACTCCATGTTTCCATTAATTAAACTGGCTCATCAGTGGATAATTCCACAAAAATTTATCACTTATCCTGATGTGATCAATGTCCTAAGTCCTAGAGCTAACATCTAACCAGAGTGTCGTCATCACTTCTCAAAGAGAACTGAAGCTCCAGAAGGTACAAGTTTTATAGAGCTAAACAATACAAAAAGCAAGCAAACCAACATGCAAAAAACAAAACCCTGTTGAGCAAAGCACTCATACTTACACTAAGCACATCGTTTCCAATCACATTTGTAACTCTACTTTTATACTGATGATTTGTACTGTATAGGAAAAATACCAGGCTTGAAATTTAGCTGCTTAGAATAGAGACTGGACTCCTTAGAAGCATAGACAACCTGCATAACCTTTCACTCTGTCTGTACTATGTCATGTAGTATAGAAATCATCACCATATAGGCTTTCTAGAAATTTTAACCTACCAGAGCACCTTGGTTTCCAACCTTGTTGGGGGGATGAGATACTAACCACACGTCCAGTGTAGAGCTAACACATCCACAGTCCACTGCGTCTCTCAGCGTAGGTAGCTCTCTCAAGTCTAGAAGGCTCATTTCCCTTCTCTTGCTGGGGACGCTCAGGGTGTGTACGGGGTGGGGCCAGTGGGAGTGGGAAAAGCCGGCAGCAGCAAACACCTTCCTGATACTGGACACCGTAGCATGAAAACAGCACTTACTTGCTACCCAGTGAAAGGTCTCCACCAGGACTTGAGGGGACCCCAAGAAGCAAAGCTCCTGGAGCCCTGTCCTCCGGAGCTTCCGTTTCTTCACGGACCTCTGGCTTCCTCTACTCTGGCTGTTTAGACGTTGCTAGGCGGGCATGTGCCCGCAGCAGCTGCCTCCACCTGGGCGGTGATGCGATCTGCTTCACACCGGCCCCACTGAGCTGCAGGCTAGGGAAGGCGTCCCTGGAGCGGCTCCCCAGCCGCTGACCCAAAGACCTTTCCTGCCTAGGTGCCCAGTGTAGCAGTCTGCCCATGGGGAGCTGTTTTTGTCTCTTTCTTACTCCTCCCTCCCACTCCCAGCCACGCCAAAGTCTCCCCCGCCCTCATTCCCAGGCCAGCGCTCGCCTTCAGCTCCGGCGTGGGCGGGGTGATCTGACAGACCAGCTGCAGAGGGAGCCACAGCTTTGGCTTGGAGACTGCTCCTCCAGCTGCCTGTGAAGAGCGGACAGCGAGAAGAGCAGGAGGCTGGCTGAAGCAGAGAGGACAGGAGCAGGATGCAACTACATCGTGTGTTGTGCGGGATGTGTGGGAAAAGGAAGATGAGGGGGAAAGAGGAAGAGAGGAAAGCAGCAAACTCAGTCTTTACCTCCAGCTGTTTCTACTTTTCCTTCCTATGCTTCGCCAACAGAGTCTACCAGGAAGCCGGTCAGCCTGCAGCCTCCGAAGCTGAGCACTGCTGTAGATTAGTGTGTGACGTGGATGTTGTTGTGTATAGATGTATTCTCTAGAAAGGAATTGGTTGGAATCACTGTAACCTCTTGTTTTACCTTTTTTTCCCACTCTGATGATGTGAGACATGAGTCACAAAGAAAAATATCGTTTATGTTTTAGAAAACTGGGACTCTACAGTGTAGTTAAGGGTTACAGAAAGAGATGTTGGTCTTCCTCAAAGGGAGTTTAGAAAATTTTGCCACACTATAGAACACTAATTTTGTAACCCTATCTTGTTTTGATAATACGTTATTTTATCCCGAAACACATTAACAAATGTCAGTGCTGGGAATGTGGATAGCACAGTAGCATTCTAAACAACTTTATTCAATATGATTATCACATCTAAAAAATAGCAATAATGATTTTGCAGTGTCCAACTTGATTTCTTTTTAAGAGACAATGCATAAATCACCATGTTGTCTTCCCCACCCATTGAGAAGATAAGTACATTTTCTAGTCCATGGAACTTTCCCTGGGAGATTTTAACTTACGCTCATCCAATAAAATTCTAAATTTTTTTTTTTTTTTTTTCTTTTTGGTTTTTCTCCGGTACCAGGAACCGAACTCACGACCTTGCACATGCCAGGCAGGCGCTTTGCCACTGAGCTAAATCCCCAGCCCCAAAATTCTAAATTTAATATCAAATATCTTAAAGGCAGTGCCTGCTTGACAAGTGCAAGGTCCTGAGTTCAATTCCTGGGAAAAACAATCTTAAAGGTTAAAAAATACTTGAAAAAATTAAAAAGAAATACTGCTTTACGTACTGTGTAATAAATAAACAAGTGGCCCCAATAAATAACTAGCAATATGAGCAAGAGGCAAATAAAAGGGAAACCAAAGGTACTGAATTTATACTCTGAACTGGACAAACACTTTTGTTGTTTTGAAAAAAATATTTTGCAAACCCAGAAGTAATGTAACAAAGCTGGATCTGAAATATTGCAGTGTATGTTCTTGATCTGTATTTAACTGTGGAGCTTCCTGCACTGATTTTCTCAATAGAAAGAAGTGTGGGATAGGTGGTGCTTTTTTCCACATTTCTTCCTTATGAACCAAAACTTATATTTTCTAAATTTTGCATTCTAAATATTTAATAGGGAAAAAGCTCTATATTCTTTTGCTCTGCCTTGCAAAGGGAAATCTGCTCTACCACACACCACTTTAACAGGTAGTACCCTGGGAGCACTACTCTCCTTGCAGCTTGCTTAAGTAGGGTCCGTGAATTCTAATTTCACAGATGTCAGTATTGGGAATGTGGATAGGACCAGGCATTGTACTTTTGGTCCACAATACCACATCTGGATTGGCAGCTATCTTATGTTAGAGAACGCAAACTATCACTCTTCCCCAAACAAATCAGAACTCTCTTTTAAAAATAGTTGCCCTGTTGATCAATTTGTTTTTCTGATAATAGCCATCTGACTCTATGGACATTCTGATTTACTAACGATTTATTTCATGTTTATGATTTTCCTCTCCATCCAAACTCTTGCTTTCATTCTGAATGACCTTATCATCTATTTGAGTGCCAAGAACAATTTGTATGAAACATCCAACAGCTTAACTTTCAATTTTGTCCCTAGTGAAGACCCTTTGCTCCATATCACTGCAGCTTTTACTTCCAAATGCACACTTTAAAATTCATCATGTTTAGCAACTGATTTGTTGTTTATATTATAAAATTTAACTGTCATGCTAAGTATCTCTATTTATTTCTCTAAGTATTCTATTCATTTTCTGTCAGTTCCCCTAGAATGTATGCTACATGATTCCTCAGATATGTTTTCTCCTTTATTGTATGCATGAGTATATAGTAGCGCCTTTAACAGAGGTTGGAGTATAGTAAGTACCAAGTTAATTTGCTAAAGATATGAACTCCAAGCAAGATTTTATCCACTATGTGCTTCCTGGAAGAATGTACCACTTCATCATAAGAAAAGACCACAGATTCCATGAGGGATGCACATTGTTTGTTGATCTGGCTTCATCATGCTAAATATCTTTTAATGTTAATGCTTCCATATAAAGGTATGGAAATTTCTATTGGCTGCAGAAACTTGCCATGAAACATAGAGCTCCCAGAAAAGAAATTCAAAGGTGAAAGGACTCAGAGACATAAATTAACCTGCAACACTAACAAAAGAAGCTTTGCCTTTTCTAAGAGCCATTGTAACAAAAACATGAATGATAAAAATAATGGCAAATTCATGGAGAAAAGAGAAACCTTGTACACTGTTGATAGGAATGTAAATTAGATATTTTAGAAAAGAATACTGAGGTACTTTAAAGTACTAGTAACACTATCACCATACCGTCTAGCATCTCATTTCTGGATATATTTCCAAAGGAACTGACTATGTTGAAGTGATATTTGCAACGAAGTGTCCATCAGCAGATGCAGCGGTAAAGCAAATGTGACAAATATACAAAATCATACACTATTCAGCCTCAAGAAAGAAGGAAATTCTGTCATTCACAACAACATGGGTTGAGCTGTAGAACATAATACTATGTGAAATAACTAGGGCACAGGAGAAAATATATTGTATGTTCTCATTATATGTGAAAACTAAAAAAAAATCAATCTGAAAGAAATGCAAGAAGAAAAGTGTTTACCAGCCCCTAAAGGCCTGTATGAGAAAGAAAGAGAAGTTGCTGGTTGAAGAGTAAAACATTTGTTAGACTGGAGGGTTAGGATTTAGTGATTTAACCCAGTAAATAATAGAGTATCACACATTATAAAATATTTTAAAAGCTTATTTTAATGTTCTCACTAGAGAACATTAAAGTATTATGGTGCTAGATACGTTAACTAGCTTGAATAATGTTTCTATCATGTTATATAGTTCAAAATATTATGATATGCCCCATAAGTAAACACAATTATTATTTTTATTAAAACAAATAAAATATAAAAATAAGCTCTATTTTCTAAGTATGTGTTCGAAAGATGGATGCTGCATAGCTGCATGGTCTCTTGTCTAGAAAAACTTGTGTTACCTCACTATGCTTCAACCAGATAGGCCCCTGGGAGCCTTACTTGCCTTGCAGCTTGTTTAAATGGGGGCTGTTGATTCTAACCTCATAGATGTCAGTATCAGGAGATTGGGTATATACATTTCTTATCTTTATTATGAAACAGTAAGGCATGGTTTTGAATTTTTCACAAAATTCAAGTGTACATTTTTAAGGAAAAATAAATTATAAATCGTAGTAGGAAAAACAAGCTTTAGGGGCTGGGGATTTAGCTCAGCGGCAAAG